CACTGCCTGAAAATCAAGCAAAACGTGGGTGCCAGAAACAATATCATACGAAAGCTGACTGGCACAACCTGGGGATCACAACCAGATACAGTGAAGACATCTGCCCTTGCGTTGTGCTACTCTGCTGCTGAGTATGCATGCCCAGTGTGGAACACATCTCACCACACCAAAACAGTGGATGTGGCTCTTAATGAGACATGCTGCATTATCACAGGGTGTCTGCGCCCTACACCACTGGAGAAATTACACTGCTTAGCCGGTATTGCACCACCTGACATCTGCCGGGAAGTAGCAGCCAATAGTGAAAGGACCAAGGCAGAGACATCTCCAGCTCATCTTCTGTTTGGGTATCAGCCAGCACGTCAACGACTTAAATATAGACATAGTTTTCTAAGATCTACAGAGACAGTCGCTGGAACACCTCAGCAAGTGAGAGTCCAAAAGTGGCAGGCTCAAACCCAGAACCTTAATCAATGGCTGATACCAAATGAGAGACTCCCTCCTGGGCACACAGAGGACTGGGTGACTTGGAAGGCGCTGAACAGACTTTTTTTTTTTAATTGTTTTATTGGTTTTTCCCACTCCCACCCTCCCCTCCTTGTACATGCCATTTATACATCAAACTACAGAAGTTACATTTGAAATATCAGTCTCAGTCTTAATTTTTCTGCTCCACATCCTAACACATTCTCTAAATAATTCCGAACTGGTTCCCACATCCTCTTAGTTATTGTAACCTTTTCAATTTTATCTATATTATTCCATTTGCAATTTGTTATTTCCACATTTAACATATTCACTATATAGTTATACCAATTAATCAGCGTCCATTTTGTTTTGTCTTTCCAACCCCTCACTAAAACAATTTGTGCACAAGCGATTAATTTGTCAACCATTTTTTCCTTTTGTATATTCTTCACTCCTGCTATTCGTGCATGTAGTATATTTCTATTAATTATTACTATTTGTAAGTTTAACATTCTATTGATTTCCCCTTCAATCCTTTTCCAGTATTCTTGCACTTGATCACATTCCCATATCATATGATTAAACACCCCTCTTTGTTCACAGCCATGCCAACACCTATCCTTTATCCCTGGTACAAAGCGTGAAAGTTGTGCAGGAGTTCTGTACCATTTTTGTAACATTTTCCTTCTTGCTTCCCTTAATACATTATACTTTTCTTTTGCTATATTACTTATTTCCCTTTGGATGTCTTCCCTCTCAATTTCCATATCCAATCTCCATGTTTGGAAAATTTCCTCTATTATTTCTTCTTTTACTGTTATAATTTGGTCGTACAGATCTCCTGCCACTTTCTTCTCCCCTCTCAAACATTTCCTAATCACCTTCTCAAATGGACTATCCTGTTCTCTAATTTTCCCCCTCCGTCTAAAAATTTCCTGTCTTATAGCCCAGCTTTGAATCCAATTCCCTGACCCTATCCAATTCTGAATTTCTTTTTGTTCTACGGGGTTTCCATCCTCTGTATATAGATCCTCTACTAACCTTTTCCCTCTGCTTTCAATCAGTCTCAATGTTCTGCCTATCATTTCATCATTATTATAATTCATTTGCCATATAGTTGCCATCTTATTCTCAGACGAATGTATGTTTATTGTAACCAAACTACAGCTACGTAGCGACAGATAAACTATCAAAGTTTTGTCTCACCTTCAGAGATGTTCGATATGGCGCCCCGTGTGACACGGCAGATGTCCAAGCGATAGTCCAGTTCATTCCACATCCGTTGCAGCACATCCGACGTAATGGCATCGAATGCAGCAACGTCTGGGAAGGTGTTCGTTGAGGTCCTAACCCTAACCCTAACCCTAACCCTAACCCTATCCCTAACCCTAACCCTATCCCTAACCCTAACCCTATCCCTAACCCTAACCCTAACCCTATCCCTAACCCTATCCCTAACCCCCTATCCCTAACCCTAACCCTAACCCTAACCCTTGAAATTCTCGCTGGACCGTAATTACTGACATTGTTTTAGCAAATGTCATCACACAAAACGCCTTCTCTTTGCTTGATTCCGCCATTTTGAAAACAGCGACCCCTAGCGACACCTAGCGGCATTAACGTACATGTGTGTTGCTCAAAAAAAACTTTGATAGTTTATCTGTCGCTACGTAGCTGTGGTTTGGTTACAGTAAACATACATTCGTCTAAAATTAATTTTCTTATTGGCCTATTCATTTTGACTAACCCTGTATAATTCATTTGCCATATAGTTGCCATCTTATTCTCATTACCTGGATTTAACTTCTTCTTTCTTTTTTTCCACACTTTTACTGTTCCTTTAAAGGGTTCCTTAAGTTCTGTTTCCTCTCTCCTCTTCCATTCCCTAAATATTATTTCTTTTCCTTTAATATTATTTATTATCTTCTCCATATTTACCCATTTTTTTTCCGTATACTGTATTTCCAGCAATCTTTGAATTTGAAATGCATCATGATAAACTTCCAGACTTGGGATCCCCCAGCCTCCCTCTTCTTCTTTTGCATTTAACCATTTATCCCTTATTCTGGGTCTTTTCCCGCCAACTGCCCATATTCTTATTCTTCTGTCCCATGTCTTTAATGTTTTCCTCTCTACTGTGTTTGGTAAGGTTTGGAGTAAATATAATAATTTCGGTATTATGAACATTTTCAATGCCCTTATTCTGTCCACTCTTGTTAATGTTTTCCCTTCCCAGTTCTTAAGTTGCTTCTCTATTACTTTCCACTTTTGTTTGTAATTCCCCTTAACTATACTCTTTGGATTTTTGTATACCCATATTCCTAAATATTTTAGCTTCTTTGATCCTAATTTTAATCCTGATATTTTCCTAATCTCCAATTGTTCTTTTGGTGGGGTGTTAATACATAGTATCTCTGACTTTTTGATGTTAACAAATAATCCAGATATATTCTTAAACTCTTCTAATTTTTTATCATATCTTTTATCATAATTAATGGTTGATTTGTAATAATCATTGCATCATCAGCAAAGAGATTCAGCTTTATTTCTTCCTTTTCCCCTCCCTCCTTTTCTATTTTATATCCTGTCCACTTGGTGCTATTCCTAATACTTTCAGCTAGTATTTCTATCGCTATTACAAATAAAGTGGGGGATAATGGACATCCTTGTTTTGTACCATTTAAAATGGGTATCTCTCCTGTCCTTCTGTCGTTAACCCTTACTCTTGCCTTGCAGTTACTATATAGTTGCTGCAATGTTTTACAAAAGTTTTCCCCCATATTCAACTGTTGACATACATTTAATAGAAATTTATGATTGACCTTATCAAAGGCTTTGTAAACATCCAATTTAAGAATTCCAATTTTTTCCTTATTCAAATTTGCATGATTCATTGCGATTACCACATTTTTTATTGGATCCCCAATTTTTCTTCCCTTCACAAATCCATATTGATCTTCTTTAATTATTTTTGGCATTATTGTTTCCAATCTTTTTGCTAAAATTTTTGTAAATATTTTGTAATCCTGATTACATAGACTAATAGGCCTGTATGACCCTGGTTCTGTTAAATCTCTTCCCTTTTTTGGTATAGTAATAATTTCTGATACCTTCCAGGTTTGTGGGACTTTTTGCTTAGTGTATATTTCATTAAACAACTCTGTTAAATGTGGTACCAATTCTTCAATATATGCTTTATAATATTCCGCTGGGAATCCATCTGGCCCTGGTGACTTAGCTCCCTTTAACCCTTTAATTACCCCTAATATTTCCTCTTGTGTTATTGGTTGATTTAATAACTCTCTGTCTTCCTCTGCAATTTTTTCTCTAATGTTTAAGTTCCCTTGTACTACCCTCTCCTCCTTATATAAATCTTTATAATATTTTGCCATTACCTCCCTAATTTTACTTTGCTCCTCTTGTTCTTTCCCTTTTTCATCTTTCAATTTCTTTACCCAGGTTTTTTCCTTTTTCTTTTTCAAATAGTAAGCCATCCTCTTCATTGATTTTATATTCCAACTTTGGGAATAACTTTTAACATATAAATACTTATTCATTATATTCATTTCCTCAAAAGCTTCTAATTGTTTTCTCTTCTCTTTTAATTCTATCCAGATCTTTCTATCCCTAGTTCTTTTATGTCTGTCCTGCAAGACTGAACAGACTGTGCTCTGGTACCACGAGATGCAGAGCCAACCTTCAGAAATGGGGCTACGAAGTGGAATCCTTGACATGCGAGTGCTGAGAGGAGCAAACCACTGACCACCTGCTGCAATGCAACCTGAGCCCAGCCACATGCACAATGGAGGACCTTCTTGCAGCAACACCAGAAGTGGCCAGCTACTGGTCAAAGGACATTTAATCAACTACCACACTCACAAATTTTGTATTTTGTCTGTTTGTTTGTTTTGTTCTGTTAGAAATGTAATATAATTGACTGGTTGCACTGAGATGATAAATAAATAAATTCCTACCGACTGAGATATTCTGCTGTCTGAAAAATAACTAAAAATATTCAGGGCTTTGGTTAAAATGGTGTTCAAATGCCGCAAAAACAAACCACAAAAACAAGCAACTCACACACACACAAAGGAAGGGTGCAAAAGAGACAGAGATGGAGAGGAAGGAGGCCCAGCAAGTCGTGTGAGGCAAGCAGGCCCCTTGTTTTGAAGCCAGTTGAGAACAACCTCCTTTTTCTCTGCCGCACTTTCCCTTGTTTCTTAAATAAAAAATAAAAAAGGGGGGAATGATGGAGAAGGGGAGAGAGTCAGACAAGTTTAATGATGTGTGTTCAAAGCTCAGATTGGAAAAATGACAGAGAAAAGCAGCCTGTTTCGGCTCTAATAAATTGTTCTCCGCCGTAAGAGGCGCCTGTCGCGGCATTAATACAGGCCCCTCAGACACGGGTCAGGGTTAAGTAATTTTCTCCGGCAACTTAAGCGAATAATGAAGCTGGCGGCGCGGCAAGGGAGAGAGAGAAGGAGAGAGAGAGAGAAGGAAAGAGAGAGAGGGCCCGGCCACGGCTACGGCGGCGGCCCTGGCACTTTGTCTTCATTTATTCTGCCCGCTCTCTCTCCTCACGGCGGCACCAGGCGCACCGGCGGCGGGAAGCCCTCCGCCGAGGAGATATCGCTTCATTTCGGAGAGGTAATGAAAGCCCCGACGCGGGGAAAGCGGGGGAGGATAAACCAATTTGCCGGCTGACACCGAAAGGAGTGATTTGCGGAGGGAAGGCCAAGCCAGGCCCAAGCCAGGCCTAGCAGGAAGAGGGAGCATGGAGGGCCAAACAGTGCCTTCTGCGTGGAGCTCTAGTCCCAAACAGTAACTCCTGCAGGAAGTTGGATGTCCTAATAGTAACTTCTGTAAGGAATTGGAGTCCCAGATAGTAACTTCTGTAGGGGATTAGAGTCCTAAATGGTAACTTCTGCGGGGAATTGGAGGCTCAAATAGTACCTTCTATAGGCAGTTGTACTCCCAAACAGTAACTTCAGTGGAGAATTGAAGTCCCAAATAGTGACTTCTGCAGGGAATTGGAGGCTCAAATACTAACTTTTATAGGGACCTGTCCTCCCAAACAGTAACTGCAGGAAGTTGGATTCGCTGATAGTAACTTCTCTAGGGAGTTGAATTCCCTAATAATAAGTTCTGCAGGGGGTCGGAGTCCCAAATAGTAACTTCTGCAGGGAATTGGAGGCTCAAGAAGTAACTTCTGTAGAGATTTCTACTCCCAACCAGTAACTTCTGCAGGAAGTTGGGTTCCCTAATAAGAACTTCTGCAGGGGGTCAGAGTCCCAAACAGTAACTTCTGCAGGGAATTAGAGGCTCCAATACTAACTTCTGTAGGGATTTCTACTCCCAACCAGTAACTTCTGCAGGAAGTTGGATTCCCTAATAGTAACTTCTGCAAGGGGTTGGAATCCCAAATAGTAACTTCTGCAGGGAATTAGAGGCTCAAATACTAACTTCTGTAGGGACCTGTACTCCCAAACAGTAACTTCTGCAAGGAGTTGGATTTCCCTAATAGTAACTTCTGTAAGGGATTGTAGTCCCAAATAGTAACTTCTGCAGGGAGTCAAAGTCCCAAATAGTAACTTCTGCAGGGAATTGGAGGCTCAAATACTAACTTCTATAGGTAGTTATACTCCCAAACAGTAACCTCAATAGGGAGTTGAAGTGCCAAATAGTAACTTCTGCAGGGAATTGGAGGCTCAAATACTAACTTCTGTAGGGACCTGTACTCCCAAACAGTAACTTCTTCAAAGAGTTGGATTCCCTAATACTAACTTCTGCAGGGAGTTGGAGTCCCAAATAGTACCTTCTGCAGGGAATTGGAGGCTCAAATACTAGCTTCTGTCAGGATTTCTACTCCCTTCTAGTAACTTCTGCAGGGAGTTGGATTCCCTAATAGTAACTTCTGCAAGGGGTTGGAATCCCAAATAGTAACTTCTGCAGGGAGTCAAAGTCACAAATAGTAACTTCTGCAGGGAATTGGAGGCTCATATACTAACTTCTGTAGGGATTTCTACTCCCAACCAGTAACTTCTGCAGGGAGTTGGATTCCCTAATAATAACTTCTGCAGGGGGTCGGAGTCCCAAATAGTAACTTCTGCAGGGAATTGGAGGCTCAACTACTAACTTCTGAAGGGAATTATAGGTTCAAACACTAACTTCTGCAGGGGGTTGGAGTCCCAAATAATAATTTCTACAGGGGGTCGGAGTCCCAAATAGTAACTTCAGCAGGGAATTGGAGGCTCAAATACTAACTTCTGTAGGGATTTCTACTCCCAACCAGTAACTTCTGTCGGGAGTTGGATTCCCTAATAATAACTTCTGCAGGGGGTCAGAGTCCCAAATAGTAACTTCTGCAGGGAATTGAAGGCTCAAATACTGAGTTTTGTAGGGACCTGTACTCCCAAACAGTATCTTCTGCAGGAAGTTGGAATCCCAAATAGTAACTTCTGCAGGGGGTTGAAGTCCCAAATAGTAACTTCTGCAGGGAATTGGAGGCAAAAATACTAACTTCTATAGGTAGTTGTACTCCGAAATAGTAACCTCAATAGGGAGTTGAAGTGCCAAATAGTAACTTCTGCAGGGAATTGGAGGCTCAACTACTAACTTCTGTAGGGACCGGTACTCCCAAACAGTAACTTCTTCAAAGAGTTGGATTCCCTAATACTAACTTCTGCAGGGAGTTGGAGTCCCAAATAGTACCTTCTGCAGGGAATTGAAGGCTCAAATACTAGCTTCTGTCAGGATTTCTACTCCCAGCTAATAACTTCTGCAGGGAGTTGGATTCCCTAATAATAACTTCTGCAGAGGGTCAGAGTCCCAAATAGTAACTTCGGCAGGGAATTGGAAGCTCAAATACTAACTTCTGTAGGGACCAAACAGTAATTTCCGCAAGGCGTTGGATTCCCTAATAATAACTTCTGCAGGGAGTTGGGAGTCCCAAATAATAACTTCTGCAGGGAGTTGGAGTTCCAAATAATAACTTCTGCAGGGAGTTGGAGTCCCAAATAGTAACTTCTGCAGGGAATCAGAGGTTCAAATACTAACTTGTGTAGGCACTTGCACTCCCAAACAGTAACTGCTGCAGGGGGTTGCAGTCCCAAATAATAATTTCTGCAGAAGGTTGAAGTCCCAAATAGTAACTTCTGGAGGGAATTGGAGGCACAAATACTAAGTTTTGTAGGCACTTCTACTCCCAAACAGTAACTTTTGCAGGGGGTTGGAGTCCCAAATAGTGATGGCTGCAGGGAGTTGGAGTCCCAAATAGTAACTTTTCTAGGAAGTTGGAGTCCCAAATAGTAACTTCTGCAAGGAGTTGGAGTCCCAAACAGTAATGTCTACAGGGAGCTCTAGTCTCAAATAGTAACTTCTGCAGGAGGTTGGAGTCCCAAACAGTAACTTCTGCAGGAAGAGTGAAACCCAAATAGTAAATTCTGCAAGGTGTTGGACTCCCAAACAGTAACGTCTACAGGGAGCGCTAGTCACAAATAGTAACTTCTGCAGGAGGCTGAAGTTCCAAACAGTAACTTCCACAGGGAGATGGAGTTCCAAATAGTAACTTCTGTAGGGAGTTGGAGTTCCAAATAGTAACTTCTGTAGGGACTTTTACTCCCAAATACTACTTTCTGTAAGGAATTGTAGTTGCAAATAATTACTCCCGGAGGGAGTATGAGTTCCAAATAGTAACTTCTGCAGATTGTAATCCCAAATAGTATATTCTTTAGGGAGTTGGAGATCCAAACAGTGCCTTCTGCAGGGAGTGAATTTCCAACTCAACGAATGATTCCCTCCCAATGCTATTATTCTAGTGCCAAGGCATGGAGGAGTAAGGGCAACAAACAGGACGACAGAGCTTGGAAAAATTCCTTTTTTAAAATCATACAACTCCCAGAATCTCTTAGGTAGCATGACCAATGCCCCAATTGGTCAGAGGATTCAGTGCGGTGAATCCTAAAAAGTAAGTTTTCCAAGCTCTGACTCAGGCCACTTGTGATGAGGTAGGGTGAGCTGGGATGTTAGAGATTGTATACAGGTATGCTCAAGCAATAGCAAACCAAACTGAAAGATATATTGGGGGATGTGAACTTATCTGGAGTACAATGGAGAACAGAAACATGAAGAATGCTGAGAAGGAGGAAGGCTGACAAGGGAGTGATGAGAAACTGGAATGAAAAAGCTGAAATTAAGAATAAAAATGAGAGCATATACTGGAGGAGGTCACACAGAAAGGATGGCTTTCTAGCCTGGATCACAGCATTATCCATTTAATGTGCCTTATCAAATCTTGCAGGCTTCACGCTTCCTTTCTAACTAAATATTGCATACAAATGGTTGTAAGAAAGCGCTCTTTGTCATTTGCTACAATTAAAAAAAATAGCCATCATAACCAAAGATTTTTTTCTTGTCTGAAGAAGAGTATCATGTTCCTTCCCACCCCAAAACCATTATAGAAAAACATTTTAAAGCCTCACTGCACAATTTAGACAACGATTTCCGCTTTCTAAATCAAGAAAATTTGTGGCCCTGCAGATGTTGGTAAAGAACACATCTCAAAATCCATTAATGTTGTTTGTATTCGTTATGCCAATGGGAATTGTTTTCCCCAAAACATCTATACAAGCTGCCCATCGCAATCTAGGTTCTAAACCTTGAAGTCACTTGCATCTCCTCTGTTGCATGGTAGAGCTAGTTCTCCCCTTATGGAAGTTTTGAGTGGAAAATTGGATGGAGAGTAGAGCTTAACCCTTTCTATGCCTGCCTGCCTGCCTGCCTGGCAGTTTTTCAGCTCACTTTCTAATCTTAGTATAAAACACCTGTTGCATATTCTTGATGTTGAGAGTGGCATTCAGGGTAAAGAAGCGTAAGAGTTAAAAGTATAAAGAAGCGTAAAGTGCAAGAAGTGAAAAGATTATACACACAAACACCATGCTTCCAGATTAAAGTATCACTTCCTAGATAAATACATCAGGTGTTCCCTAAGTTAGACTTTGAATGATAATTTTTTGTCATAAAGCTCCTATTCAGAGATAAAGCTTCCTTATGTTTTTGAAAAGAAGATTACAAGATCGCTAGATAAAAAAAATGCTTGAGCAAAAACAGTATTATTGGCAAATAATGAATAATGTAAGAAAGAACCAGTTGGAACAATAACAGCAAAGATAGCTCCAGTTGTATTGGTTTACATTTCCCACCATCACCAACCTATTTGGCCTGTATTGGCTGAAGGTTAAGGTAAAGGTTTCCCCTTGACATTAAGTCTAGTCGTGTCCAACTGGGAGTGGTTCTCATCTCCATTTCTAAGTTGAACAGCTGGCATTGTCCATAGACACCTCCTAGGTCATGTGGCCAGCATTACTGCATGGAGGGCTGTTGCCTTCCTGCGGTACCTATTGACCTATTCACATTTGCATGTTTTTGAACTGCTAGATTGGCAGAAGCTGGGTCTAACAGCAGGAGCTCACCCCGCTCCCTGGATTTGAACAGCCAAACTTTTGGTCAACAAGTTCAACCTATGTGCACCACCAGGGGTTCTTGGCTGAAGGTTATAAAGGTTATAATATATTCTAACACATCTTGAGAATGTGATATCGAGGACGCCTGGGGCATACTTTACAGTTTCACATACCTTAATGCTTCAC